TATTGACAGATTTTATGTGTCAAACACATACTTCACGTCCTCAACTTGTAACTTACAAGTACTAATTATCACAATACCATCTCATGATTTCATAATTCTGAAAAACATTTTTTTGTAGCAAGTAACCCTGGTTTAAAAATCTATAATCGTAAATTTAAAAATTCAGGATTGTTCCATGATGCGCCGAAAAAAAATCGAGAACTCTTAAGATGTTGCGATTCAGGGATGTACAGAGGCCTTCAGAAAAATTATGAAAACTTCAGAAATATTTCAGGAACTTCACAGAAGCTCAAAGAATTTCAGGAAAATTTAAAGGTGTTTACGGGAAATCCATGTATTTTCGAGCAGAACTGAGATTCTCAATAGAATTTAGAGCTTTAGAGAAGCTTCGGGAACATCAAGACAGATTAGAGAATCAAAGGGCAGTTCAAATAATTTCAAGGAATTGTAGAAACCTTAAAGGAGTTTCGAGAAACTCAGAGAATTACCGGAAACTTCAGCAAAACTCCGAGAGAATTTCTGGAACGTGATAAAAATTATATGAACATCCGGAAAACGTGAGAATATTTTTTTTTCCTTGATTTGTTTTTCCGTCGATCTTGTTTTCCGTGCTGAGCACCAATGCTACCGACGCCAGGGAGGCAGCTCCCTCGCCTGGACCCTACCTATCGACCCATCAACTCATGGAAAATTCAAGAACTTAAAAAATGCGAAAAATTAGCTTAGTTGATTAGAGAGCATCAACGAAGTTCCATTAATTTAAAAAAAATGCGAGAACTTTTAGCAAGCTTCAAGGAAATCCAGAGAACTTCTAGTACATTTAGATATTTTTTAGATGGTTTCATGATATTCAGCGAAGTTCCGAGTACTTCGACGACGATCAGATAGCTTCAGAATAACCCCATTAACTTAAGCAAACATCAAGCGACTTACGGAGTTCCGTGGAATTATGGGGTATTCCAAGAATTCTATTATTGATCCGAAAACGTCAGAAGCGTCAGGGAATTATGAATATATATCAGAAAATTTGAAGGATTATGAATCAAGCATAGATAAGTTCATGGAAAATTAGTGAGCGTTTATAACCATTATAATACTTAGGGAAAATTATCGAAACTTAATTATGTCGTTCTAATTCCATGAAAATTGCGGGAGCACAAAAGTTCCAGAAATTTAGAAAAACTTTGAAATCTTCACAGAAGGACAGTGATCTTCAGAAACATTTCGAAAACTTCACAGAAATCTATGGAGCTTAAGAGGAGATCCGCGAACTTCAGGAATTTGTATGAAAATTAGCAAAATTCTGGAACATTTTAAAGAAGTTTTGTAAGCTTCGAAAATTGGTTAACAATTTAATTCTTTCCACGAGTTTAGAAGTCCAGTGAAGCTTAAACATTTTTAGGATGGTTCAATTAAATTCAGCGCAGTACAACAAGCTTCATGAACTGCAAATACCTTAGAGAAGTTGTGAGAATTTCAGAAAAGAACAGAGAACCTCAGAGCAGTTCCGTTAACATTAGAGAAGTCACTTAAATTTTAAAAAAGCTTAGCGAACTGCAGCGAATTTTTAAACCTTCAGAAGAGATCTATGATCGTTAGAAAAATTGAGGAAACTTTAGGAAGTGCTATAAAGTTCAGGGAAGTTTAAGAATTTAATGAGAAGTATGGTGAGCATCAGGCTAGTTTCTCAAACAAAAAAGAACTGCAAACCAGTTCCATTAACTTCAGGACAAATTTGGGAACTTTCAAGTAGTTTTGAAGACCTCAGAATAGTACTTTCTGATTTCCATTAAAATAGACCTCAACTTACCTGAAGCTTTGAATTCAATTTTCTTTTAGTTTTCCTCGGAAATATCTTGAAATTCACCACAATAAGAAACCCTTTGGAAAGATTCTCCGAATATTCATTGAATTCATTTCAAAATTCTGTTTGAATCTCAATCCTTCCATTGGAATTCTACTCACATTGAAAGTCTCATAAGAATTCATTGGCATTTCTCCTCACAAATTCTTTAGATTTCTTATAATTTGTTTGGCAAACTCTCCTGAATTTATTTTCCGAATTCCTATGAAGATGTTCTGGAGTAATTCTCAGATTTAATTGTAATCCTCCTTTTAGTAGTTTCAAAAAGATTCCAAGGACTTATGCCCCGGATTCGGTTTCTCGCACAAACTTTAAGAAATTATCCTCAGAAGACCCTTGGAATTTTCCTCTGTTGCTCCTCAGAAATTACTAAGAGTTTTCATTAAAATTAGCTTTCAATTCAATTCAAGGTTCCTTGAAATTCTACTCAAAACTATCAGGCTTCACAAGAAATCTTAAATCCCTCAGAACTACCTTGATAGCAGATTGCATTTGATGTTTTTTTGAGATATTTTTTTCTCCCCAGAACTCGAAATGAGGTCCTAAGAAATTTTAATTAAATTCCACGAGCTTTTAAAACTGTGCATGGAATTTGACTCCAGATTCTTGAAAATTTCTTGAAGTATTATCGCTTTTAAGTCCAGAACTAGTTCAAATTTAAAATTTCTAGGAAATATGCATGTTCAAAAAAAAAAAAAAAACATTTCAAGTCTCTGTTTTTTATTAAATTTATTTGTTACTGAAGATTAATCTACTCCATCCATGTTCAAAGTGTGAATGAAAATAACGAGAAAAATTAAATGCTTGTATTTTTAAATTAATCATTTTGTCAAGCTTCTGCATTCATGTTCCATCAGATGTCACAGCTGTCGTTTGCGGTGACATCTATCGGAAACTAGACACAATCTGTTTTCCTATAATTGTTCACAGAGGACACTGCAGTGCAAAACATGTCTGGTACCTCTATATATGCATTTAGATTAATATTCGAAGTCCCTCCTTATTTACACATTCTGCACACAAAATAGTTCACCCCTCACAGAATTTCCCGCCGAATTTTATGTATGGGGCGGGGCATAAAGTAACTTTTGCGCAGAATATGTAAAAAAGGAGGGACTTCAAATGTTAAAGCAAATGCATATATAGAGGTACCAGACATGTTTTGTACTGTCAGGTACTCTATTTTGTAATCTGTGAAAGGGAAATCACAAAGCGAGTGTCAACAAAATACATGGAATGTTGAGGGATTTAGCTCGTGAGAGAGAATTTCTCTCTCAAATTTGATTTTTTTTATGCTCTGTGGGGACTGGTAGTAAAGCAGATAAAATTGTATGGGGAAAAATCATTTTTATTTAATTGTAGCTTGTTTAGCATTAATTTCCGGGAAAAAACTGAACGACAAAGCCTCTGACTAATTTCTTTAGGTTGTCGTTTACTTTTTTTGACCTGAATATGCACCGGAAGCGAATTATTCGCACTTCTCTCAATTTCTATATGGGGATTTTTATCACTTCCTACCAGCGGAACAGTGCCATCTCTGTGGAAAATGGTTGAACAAAATGATTAATTGATTATTTTATTTAAAATATCCTTAGTAATAAAATTATTAAATTCTCTGAGGCTTTCAGGTATTTTAGGGAAAAATAAAATTTCCTGATTATTCTCGGTTTTTGCAGTTATTAGACACCCTGACTAATACCGTGGGTTTGGTCATAAACTTTCTATTGAATCTTTCGCTTTAAAGGTTCATAGCGTACATAGGTGTTAGTAGATATTTATTGAATAAGTCTAAAACATCAAACATTTATTTAGTGTGCCATCAGAACAACTAATTTTCTTCTTTTAGGTCACTTTTTAGTCACTATTTTTACAACTATAAGTCACTTATTTCTTCAACATGGTCAATAAAATCACTATTTTTGACAGCAGTGATCGCTTCCAGCCCTTATGAAGCCCACGATTGCGTTATGCCGCGTTGAGAAAGGGTTGACAGATCTTCTAGGATAACTTAAAGGTTCTGCTTGCACGATTTGGAGAAGTTTGTTTTGCATAAAACATCTGATGGTACTGGATATAAGTATACCAGTTTTGGCACTAATGCTCCAGCTGTTGGCCCTAGAGACTAAATCAAATTTGAATTATAGTCTCAAGATTTAATTTTCGTAGGTTTATAGCAAAATACATGGTCTAACCTTGCATCGAAACAAATTTTGAAAAGAACGTAAACACTTGGCATTTAAAAAAGGGTCAATCTTCTACTAGGGCCAAAAACTGGCACACTTACCTCAGTTCCGTGTTGAGCAGTCCCCTAAATTGATTGAGGCTTCTCATCGAATTGATCTTTTCTATTGTTCATAAACTAGAGTTTAACTTTAAGCTAACTTCTCAGCTGAATCCCCCCTGATCACGCCAATGACCGACCATTCTCCGACACCTATCGAAACCACATAACCTAATGTGTGCACGATCGGGTGCACCCCACATTGCACCCACAACCCACAATAGTTACCCTGGTAGCCGCCGCGAGCCCCCATAACAGAGCGGAACGTTAAGAGAAAGAGAGAAGAACCGCTGGGCATAAATCATAGACCACCATCAAATCGTTGCTAGCCGCGCGGAAGTGCATGCCTTCTGTGCTGCTTGCTGTCTGCGGCCTAAGGCTATGGCTGACTTGGCTGGCTGGCCTGGCACCCGAAAGTGCGAAAGGTGGAGTGGTGTGTGCGCGAAGAAGCGAAGCGCGAAAAGAAATTTTACAGAAATTGTTTCAGTAATAAGCACGGTCAGTTACGGGAAACAGCTGGCGATCGCCGCGCAGCTTGAAGTGCTGTTGTTGCCTTCTCTCGGGATTGAAAAAAAATATTTTGTCTCAAACGCGCTTGGGGAGCTGTTGCAGCGCTAAGCAGAAAGTGCTCCTAACTAGTTAGAATTTCAAATTTCACAAACACTCTCTGACGGCTGCCCTTGGTGTGCTTGAAGAAGGCGGATCGCTTTTTTTTGTGTGGTCGTTGGTTGGCGGTTGGCGGTGGAGGTGGCCCTGTCGCATCAACCATGAAGCTCTTCAGTCTGGACGCACTCGATCACGTGCTCAATAGATGCATTTTCTTTGTTTTTAAAACTCTTGTTGTGATGCTTTTAGGCGATAGCATCCCAGCAGGTCGGCCCAGCAACTGGGAGGAAAACCGGAAGCAGAGCTTTTCAGGTGAGTCGGCTTGTTTTGTTTGATATTATCGTTTTGCCTTTCTTGCCTACCTATTAGTTGCCTGTTCTCTTTTCCGATTTGAGTTTCCAAATTCGCATGCACTCGCTTCCCCATGGCTTTCGGAAAGGATTATCAATAACAGTTTTGTGGAATAACTGGATTCACTACTTCCACTGCATTGAGCGAATCGATTTTATAAAAATTGCAATTTTTTTCTATCCTAGGTCGCCGCTCGCGACGCAACTCGTTGAGCGAAGATTCTCAGCTGACGATCGAGAACTTTGGTGGTTCGCAAGACCAGCTCAACACGATCGGACGTTTCGAGCGAGAGCGAAAGATCTCCAACGCGAGCCTCACGTCAGTGGAACCCGTTACACCGGCGCGGTCCTCCATCGCCGATGCACGCGGTTCGATCCAGTTCGGGTACGACACTGACTCGTCGGGCAACGAAAAGCAGGACCGGGACACCGAGAAGCCAACTCCCACGCTCCGGCGGCATAACAGTACCAATCTACATTCCACTAGCGTTGAAAAAGACATTATCGATGGTGATATGAGTTCTGCCTACGGAGTTGGTGGCGGCGGCGGCGGTGGCGGCGGTGGCGGTGGCGGCGTGGGTGGTGGTCCGGTGAGTGTAGCCGATGTGGAAACCACGCCACGGAGGAAAACTTCTTTCGCGGCGCTGCCAAACAACACAACCACGTGGCAGCAGCAGGCGATCAGCGTGCAAAAGACGGAAGATGTTGGTGAGTAGAATTTTGAGTTAAACCGTTGCTCGCCGAATTGTGTTGTTGCAAATTCCGTATTTCAAAAGATGACAACCAACCGGGGCAGGAGGATGCGAGTAAGATTTCCACCATCAAACTCAAGCTGGAGGAGAAGCGAAGGCTGATCGAGCAGGAGAAACGCCGGATAGAATCCGCCTGGTCCAAGCAGTTACAAACGGTTGGGAAACAAGCCTTTTTACAAGCTATTAACAAGGTGAGAGGGGGATCCTTTCCTAGAGAGAATGCTTCTATTAGTGCTAATCTTCTATTATTCTGTGTGTGTGTGGGTAGACCGAGGGGTTGAACTGGTTTCTATTTGTATCGCGCTGTAGAAATTTCTGTTGTCTATATGTTTGTGTGTGTGTGTTTTTGTGTTGGGTATTGTTGGTAGTAGTGGTTTGATAAATCTCTTTATTTGTGTTGATCGAAATTCATTATTTCTCGATTACTTTATCGACGGGACGTATCAGCTTTTGTAAACAATGCAATGCATTTTCCCCTATCTGATGGTAGTGTCAGGATGCGTGGGCGAGCTACCTGTTATGCCAAATCGACGATCAAATGCATTGTTTACAAAAGCTGATACGTCCCTTCGAAAAAAGCAATCGAGATTTGAAAATATGGACTGGTCATTGAAAAACAAAATTTAACGTCAACATTTCAAAGGGGTGTAATTGCATGTGTAAACAATGGCTTTAGCCGTCGGTTCCTCGCAAATAACAGCTCACCTATGAACGTTAATGACACCAACATGAATGTTTCTAGCATTGTTAATTTGTTTTATTTGCGAGAAATCGACGGCTAAAGTCATTATTTACAAAAGCAATTACGCCCCTCTGATATACTGGCACTGATTTCTTTGAAGAAAACAACGCTTATAAACAGATTTTGCTTAGTGAGTTAAGCTCTATCTATCAGTGTTCTCATGCGTAGGAATTAAGTTAATTATCATTTGTGTGGTTGTTTACCGACAGTGATTTTTGCATTTTCAAGACAATGAATGCCTTTGGCCAAATGATCGTTCCTGGATGCGACCATACGTAGTTAACACCTCCTTTCAGCACATACTATGCTGCCCATAAAAGCATAAAACTGTCCCATATGAATAGGAAATCAAGCAAAGATGGGACAATTATGCGAGTATCGGCAGTATGGCTTTTGCTGATACAGATATGTGCACACTATTTACAAGAAAATAAGGATGAAGGCACAATGTTTTGGTGATAAAGCAACGAAGAAGAATCTAATAAGTGCGTTTGAACAGAGCATGCTGGATGTTTTGAGACATATTTCCAGATTAATCAGTTCCAGAATCCAGTTAACTAACCAATTAAATTGAATAAAACAAAAAAAGGTTATCTTCCATTTAATTCCACTTAATTAATTTTGGTATCCATGACAGATACGTATTTCGACTACAATGTGCAGTCTTCATCAGTGTCATTCCCACTAAAGAACTTATCAAAATCTAACCCCCTTAAGTACTCATCCCCTAGGTATAAAAGTCAAGATCACAGGTATATAAATGAAACTACAATGTGTTGAATCGGAACCTACCTAACTAATTAAAACCAAAGATTTAAGTAAGCTAAAGGAGAAAAATCTATTCAACTCTCTAATAAGGAAAATCCCAAAGGCTTGGTAGCCATCATAATGAAGTAATGAAATTGGGTTGTTAGCGGAATGCTTAAATAAAACAAAAAAAGGTTATCTTCCATTTAATTCCACTTAATTAATTTTGGTATCCATGACAGATACGTATTTCGACTACAATGTGCAGTCTTCATCAGTGTCATTCCCACTAAAGAACTTATCAAAATCTAACCCCCTTAAGTACTCATCCCCGAGGTATAAAAGTCAAGATCACAGGTATATAAATGAAACTACAATGTGTTGAATCGGAACCTACCTAACTAATTAAAACCAAAGATTTAAGTAAGCTAAAGGAGAAAAATCTATTCAACTCTCTAATAAGGAAAATCCCAAAGGCTTGGTAGCCATCATAATGAAGTAATGAAATTGGGTTGTTAGCGGAATGCTTAAATAAAACAAAAAAAGGTTATCTTCCATTTAATTCCACTTAATTAATTTTGGTATCCATGACAGATACGTATTTCGACTACAATGTGCAGTCTTCATCAGTGTCATTCCCACTAAAGAACTTATCAAAATCTAACCCCCTTATGACAGATACGTATTTCGACTACAATGTGCAGTCTTCATCAGTGTCATTCCCACTAAAGAACTTATCAAAATCTAACCCCCTTAAGTACTCATCCCCTAGGTATAAAAGTCAAGATCACAGGTATATAAATGAAACTACAATGTGTTGAATCGGAACCTACCTAACTAATTAAAACCAAAGATTTAAGTAAGCTAAAGGAGAAAAATCTATTCAACTCTCTAATAAGGAAAATCCCAAAGGCTTGGTAGCCATCATAATGAAGTAATGAAATTGGGTTGTTAGCGGAATGCTTAAATAAAACAAAAAAAGGTTATCTTCCATTTAATTCCACTTAATTAATTTTGGTATCCATGACAGATACGTATTTCGACTACAATGTGCAGTCTTCATCAGTGTCATTCCCACTAAAGAACTTATCAAAATCTAACCCCCTTAAGTACTCATCCCCTAGGTATAAAAGTCAAGATCACAGGTATATAAATGAAACTACAATGTGTTGAATCGGAACCTACCTAACTAATTAAAACCAAAGATTTAAGTAAGCTAAAGTGGAATTAAATGGAAGATAACCTTTTTTTGTTTTATTTAAGCATTCCGCTAACAACCCAATTTCATTACTTCATTATGATGGCTACCAAGCCTTTGGGATTTTCCTTATTAGAGAGTTAAATAGATTTTTCTCCTTTAGCTTACTTAAATCTTTGGTTTTAATTAGTTAGGTAGGTTCCGATTCAACACATTGTAGTTTCATTTATATACCTGTGATCTTGACTTTTATACCTAGGGGATGAGTACTTAAGGGGGTTAGATTTTGATAAGTTCTTTAGTGGGAATGACACTGATGAAGACTGCACATTGTAGTCGAAATACGTATCTGTCATGGATACCAAAATTAATTAAGTGGAATTAAATGGAAGATAACCTTTTTTTGTTTTATTTAAGCATTCCGCTAACAACCCAATTTCATTACTTCACAATTAAATTGAATAAATATGAATCAAGTTCTATGGACAAGCGTATATAGTATAAGATTAGCGAGCCCGAGACGGAGGAGCACTGATGAATTCTGAATTCTGAATAGTTACCAGTTTAAAGTGTAATGTTTCTAATAAATGCTTTCATCATTAATACCATCACTAAACCTCGCAAACATATAATTTAATCAAATTTTAGAATGCAAAAAACTCGTTTGGTAAATAGTGCAGGGCTTACCCCGCACTGTTATAAGTACGTAAATTTTTGTCAATTTTTTTAAATAAACAGTAACTAACAAAATAACCTATTCAAACCATGCTACCACACAATTTCTATTCAGAACTATCTTGACATGGACTCTGCATGGGCAAGATAACCAAATAAGCTCTAAATGCTTCAGGGGCCGGGTTTACTCCTAGTTCCCCTAAAGAATTTTTTTCGTACAAGTTAGAAAATTTAAAAATGGCCCTAATTGAAAGCAGTAACAGCTTTGGAACAGTATTGGTAGCCACGAAAATAATCCTGGTCACCGGATACCGGAGATATTCCGGGTTTCCGGAGGGCTTGTGTAACTTGCTAAATTTTTGGTGAAATTTTATATATGATGCTGGTTAAATATATATATTTTTAGTAAATACAACGAATGAAGAACCATTTCTAAAGCGAATCATATGCCAAGAACTAAAATCTGCCTATAATCAACCGAGATATGGCCATTTCCCTGGAATCGGTTCTGGTGGAGGGTTCTGAATGCGGGCAGATCATTTAATCACTCAAAACATGCCGTGCGACAGCTCTTTCTTCATGGTTTCTCGTCAATAGACTTTCGATAAACTTTAAATGCATCATTGACTACCTTTGCCACTCTCGGAACATCCAGTATGCCCCCGGGGGAACCTCTAGCAGGGGACAATTGCATTTTTACACTAGAACATGCCGTGCGACAGCTCATTCTTCATGGTTTTTCATGAATAGGCATTCATTAAACTTCAAATGGATTAGTGACCACATTGGGGCAGCTCTCGGAATCACGGGATACCCCCAGGGGAACCTGTAGCATGGGAAAACTGCGTTTTTACTCAAAAACATGCCGTGCGACAGCTCTTTCTTCACGGATTTTCATGAATGTGCTTTCTCTATAATTGAAGTGGATCATTGACCACATTGACCTTTCCGGAGTCACTGTAATGCCCTGGGGGAAACCTGTAGTAGGCTGCAATCACATTTTTGCACAGAACAATGCCATTGGGGAGCTCCATTTTCTGCACACATAATTGTAAGCGAATCTTACATCCCCCGGTTGGGTGTACAAGAAAGAGACTTTTATTGGTCTACAGACCTAATCTTCCTATCCACTGCTAGTAGTCAATGGTCAATTTCAAAACTTCAGATATTTCGAGCTGTCGAACGGCATTGTGAAGTGAAAATACAATTTACCCCTTACATGTTATCCTGGGGCATCTGCTGGTTCCAGAATGAGCTCCCCAATGTCATTGTTTTGTGTAAAAATGTGATTGCAGCCTACTACAGGTTCCCCTCAGGGCATTCCAGTGACTCCGGAAAGGTCAATGTGGTCAATGAGCCACTTCAATTCTATAGAAAACATATTCATGAAAATCCACGAAGAAAGAGCTGTCGCACGACATGTTTTTGAGTAAAAACGCAATTTTCCCCTGCTACAGGTTCTCTCGGGGGCATTCCAGTGGTTCCGAGGGCGGCCAATTTAGTAAATGATTCACTTTAAGTCTATAGAAAGAATATTCATGAAAATCCGTGAAGAACGAGCTGTCGCACGGCACGTTTTTGAGTTAAAACGAAATTGTCCCCTGCTACAGGTACTCTCGGGGCATCCCAGTGGTTCCGAGAGTGGCCAACGTGGTAAATGATTCACTTTAAGTCTATAGAAAGAATAATCATGAAAATCTATGAAGAAAGAGCTGTCGCACGGCATATTTTTGAGTAAAAACGCAATTGCCCCCTACTACAGGTTCCCCCGGGGGTATCCCGTGATTCCGAAAGCTGCCAATGTGGTCACTGGTCCATTTGAAGTTTAA